CTTTCCATTGTCGAACTTTCTGTTGACGAAAAAATCTCAGCAAATCTAGGATCGGCTCGGAAAAACGAAACAAATGCTCTAACAGGGTCTCAGCGATACGTTACTTGCGGACCTGTTTCTGTAACTATGCCTCACCGTATCCCCTGCGCTGCTACGCGGATAGGGGCTAAACTAGATGGCTGGGACTCACGAGCAGCAGCTACGGCAACTTCCTCCAATTACTTTGTTCATGCGTCCCAGGCACCTAGATTAGCTCCCATCCGCGCCCGTAGCGGCGTGGGGGATACGCTCAGCGGTGAGTTAAATCGTGTTTTGCGCATCGTCTGTAATGTCTCGAAATTGTCAACGGTCGCTTTTATCGTCTGCTAGTATCGTCTGCAGAAACGCTCGACATTGTCACTGGTCGCTTTTATCGTTTGTCAACATTTATGTGAATGTGAAGACTGATCAGGTTGGTTTGTCCAGACCTCATTGTCAACATTTCTGTGAATGTGAAGACTGATCAGGTTCATTTGTCCAGACCTCATTGTCAACTTTTATGGGAATGTGAAGACTGATCAGGTTCATTTGTCCAGACCTCATTGTCAACTTTTATGTGAATGTGAAGACTGATCAGGTTCGTTTGTCCAGACCTTATTGTCAACATTTATTTGAATGTGAAGACTGATCAGGTTCATTTGTCCAGACCTCATTGTCAACATTTATGGGAATGTGAAGACTGATCAGGTTCGTTTGTCCAGACCTCATTGTCAACATTTATGGGAATGTGAAGACTGATCAGGTTCGTTTGTCCAGACCTTATTGTCAACATTTATGTGAATGTGAAGACTGATCAGGTTCGTTTGTCCAGACCTTATTGTCAACATTTATGTGAATGTGAAGACTGATCAGGTTCGTTTGTCCAGACCTTATTGTCAACATTTATGTGAATGTGAAGACTGATCAGGTTCCTTTGTCCAGACCTCATTGTCAACTTTTATGGGAGTGTGAAGACTGATCAGGTTCGTTTGTCCAGACCTCATTGTCAACATTTATGGGAATGTGAAGACTGATCAGGTTCGTTTGTCCAGACCTTATTGTCAACATTTATGTGAATGTGAAGACTGATCAGGTTCGTTTGTCCAGACCTTATTGTCAACATTTATGTGAATGTGAAGACTGATCAGGTTCGTTTGTCCAGACCTTATTGTCAACATTTATGTGAATGTGAAGACTGATCAGGTTCGTTTGTCCAGACCTCATTGTCAACATTTATGGGAATGTGAAGACTGATCAGGTTCATTTGTCCAGACCTCATTGTCAACATTTATTTGAATGTGAAGACTGATCAGGTTCATTTGTCCAGACCTCATTGTCAACATTTATGGGAATGTGAAGACTGATCAGGTTCATTTGTCCAGACCTCATTGTCAACATTTATGGGAATGTGAAGACTGATCAGGTTCGTTTGTCCAGACCTCATTGTCAACATTTATGGGAATGTGAAGACTGATCAGGTTCGTTTGTCCAGACCTTATTGTCAACATTTATGTGAATGTGAAGACTGATCAGGTTCGTTTGTCCAGACCTTATTGTCAACATTTATGTGAATGTGAAGACTGATCAGGTTCGTTTGTCCAGACCTTATTGTCAACTTTTATGTGAATGTGAAGACTGATCAGGTTCGTTTGTCCAGACCTCATTGTCAACATTTATGGGAATGTGAAGACTGATCAGGTTCGTTTGTCCAGACCTTATTGTCAACATTTATGTGAATGTGAAGACTGATCAGGTTCCTTTGTCCAGACCTCATTGTCAACATTTATGGGAACGTGGAGACTGATCATTGTCAACATCTCTGTGAATGTGAAGACTGATTAGGTTCGTTAAGTTTTGGTTCGTTTCTATCTGGTGTTCTTGACCCGTTCATCCCCCCCCCCCCCCCCCACTTTTCCCCCACAACTGCCATTTTGTCAGTCCTGTCCTCAATAGTCAGGTGCATCTGTTAGCGGACTTTGTCTCTATCTGTCTTGTCTATCTTGTAGAGATTGGCTTATCTACTTTAGGACTCTCTCACTACAAGATACTTATTCACTGATTACAACTGTATAATGTAGTATGTAAATGTGTGTGCACACGTGTGTATGTGTTTCTGTAATCAATTCAGGTGAAGGTATGAAGGGGTGAATCATTGGAGAATCACCACTTTATGTCTGTGCTGACTCTTGCACCCTGAGAACATCTGCTGACCCCTGAACAACCTGTAGCCCCTCCCATGCTGGTATGATGTGGGATGGCAGTCATCTTTTTAATCATCAGCCCTGTATGCTGGTGTTCATATCAAAGCCTCAGTGTTACACCTACTTGGCTGCCTAGCTATAAGCGACACATGTGTGCACAGACAGCTTCCTTTCCTACTCACAGCTTTCTCTCCCACACTCTCCCACACACAGCTTCCTCTCCGACCAAACAAAAACAGCAATAATAATAAAAATATAATAGTAATGTGCTGAATGGCAAATAAATACAATAATATACTTGAGGGAATCTGAAATGTCTGAGAAATACTGGAGCCAGATCATTTCTGTACCTGGTTACAGCTGGTCAGGAGGGCATGGTTTGGGTGCTCTTCAGTGTATTCTGACCTCTGGCCTGTGAGAACTGAAGATTTTAAGGCAGATTTTGCCTGGGTGATGAGGAATGCATGGTTTGGGGGGGGGGGGGGGGAACGGAACCACCATCCCCAGTGTTTTCTTTATTTTTTGATGGGAGGGGGCGCCCTAACAAATCTGTATCTAGGAAATTTGTAAATGGGGTGGATAGAGGGGTGGGGGGGGGGGGGGGGGGGGTTAGCTGCCAATCAACATTTGTTAATCACCAGTGATTTGTAATATATATGTGTTAAACAGACTCATATATTCATAGTGTACCATCTGTAGGTACTTCATCAGTGTACTGCACTTGCAGATTCAGGCATATTGTTGGTTTGATTTGCTGCAGCAAGTGCTCACTGTGTAGACTTGGTCTCAGCCCCCCCCCCCCCCCCCCCCCTCCCCCCCTACCCCTCCCCACCTGATATGGTGGATCAGAACGTTTGTAGCCCTATCCTCATCTTGCTGTCAGTTATTGTCACTTATCCTCTCTCTACAGTCATTCAATAGCAAATATTGTTTTTTCGGAGGGTTATTAACATATTTAAAATCTGACTGTTAGCATATATATGGTTGTCAAAAATGTATAGTTGGCGGAACAGTGTCAGTTATCATATGTCAGTTGGTGGGGTTGATCATCATTCTGTGACTAGTTAGTGGTTGTTCATGTGATAATTCTGTGACTAGATAGTGGATGTTCATCATTCTATGACTAGTTAGTGGTTGTTCATGTCATCATTCTGTGACTAGTTAGTGGTTGTTCATGTCATCATTCTGTGACTAGTTAGTGGTTGTTCATGTCATCATTCTGTGACTAGTTAGTGGTTGTTCATGTCATCATTCTGTGACTAGTTAGTGGTTGTTCATGTCATCATTCTGTGACTAGTTAGTGGTTGTTCATGTCATCATTCTGTGACTAGTTAGTGGTTGTTCATGTCATCATTCTATGACTAGTTAGTGGTTGTTCATGTCATCATTCTGTGACTAGTTAGTGGTTGTTCATGTCATCATTCTGTGACTAGTTAGTGGTTGTTCATGTCATCATTCTGTGACTAGTTAGTGGTTGTTCATGTCATCATTCTGTGACTAGTTAGTGGTTGTTCATGTCATCATTCTGTGACTAGTTAGTGGTTGTTCATGTCATCATTCTGTGACTAGTTAGTGGTTGTTCATGTCATCATTCTGTGACTAGGTTGTTCATGTCATCATTCTATGACTAGTTAGTGGTTGTTCATGTCATCATTCTGTGACTAGTTAGTGGTTGTTCATGTCATCATTCTTTGACTAGTTAGTGGTTGTTCATGTCATCATTCTATGACTAGTTAGTGGTTGTTCATGTCATCATTCTTTGACTAGTTAGTGGTTGTTCATGTCATCATTCTTTGACTAGTTAGTGGTTGTTCATGTCATCATTCTATGACTAGTTAGTGGTTGTTCATATCATCATTCTTTGACTAGTTAGTGGTTGTTCATGTCATCATTCTATGACTAGTTAGTGGTTGTTCATATCATCATTCTGTGACTAGTTAGTGGTTGTTCATGTCATCATTCTGTGACTAGGTTGTTCATGTCATCATTCTATGACTAGTTAGTGGTTGTTCATGTCATCATTCTTTGACTAGTTAGTGGTTGTTCATATCATCATTCTGTGACTAGATAGTGGATGTTCATCATTCTATGACTAGTTAGTGGTTGTTCATGTCATCATTCTGTGACTAGTTAGTGGTTCTTCATGTCATCATTCTGTGACTAGTTAGTGGTTCTTCGTATCATCATTCTGTGACTAGTTAGTGGTTGTTCATGTCATCATTCTATGACTAGTTAGTGGTTGTTCATGTCATCATTCTGTGACTAGTTAGTGGTTGTTCATGTCATCATTCTGTGACTAGTTAGTGGTTGTTCATGTCATCATTCTGTGACTAGGTTGTTCATGTCATCATTCTGTGACTAGTAAGTGGTTGTTCATGTCATCATTCTTTGACTAGGTCCTGGATGTTTGTGTGATCATTTTGTGACTAGTTACTGAATGTTTGTATGATCATTTTGTGACTAGTTACTGTATGTTTGTGTGATCATTGAGTGACTATTTGGTGTATGTTTGTGTGATCATTCAGGGACTAATTAGTGGATGTTTATGTCATCATTCTGTCAATAGTTAGTGGATGTTCATATTCATCATTAATTGACTAGCTGGTTAATGTTCATATATGTTTTGTTGATTGTTGTCAGATGTACATCTAGACAGCCCGTCAGTGCCCCCAACCAGCAGCACAGTCAGACAGATGCTGGTGATCTGTCTTCATCAGCAACCCCTGAAACAAGCCCTGAAAGCAACCATTGTGGTGTGTCACAGTCCGCAGAGTCTGAGTCATGGGAAGAGGAGGCCAAGGAGAGACAAATGCTGTTGATGTCAAGAGGCCGCTGCAAGAGTATACCTGGGACGACATCAAGGATAAAACAACAAATGAGGGCAAATGGTTGGTCATCGATGGACAGGTTTATAATGTGACGAGCTGGTCACGGCGACATCCTGGTGGCTCCAAGATCATTAGTCATTATGCAGGTCAAGACGCCACAGTGAGTTGTTTTGACTAAATGGGGGGGGGGGGGGGGGGGGGTGGGGGAGAGGGGAGGATGCCTGAGTGCTGCATGAGTGGTGTTCTTCATAGTCAGTAAATACTGGTGGGGCTGTAGTGGGTGAGTCCATAAGTCGGTGAGTACAGCAGACGTCATAATACACACGTGAGCAGCTTATTCCCCCAATGGAGCATAGACCCTCAACCAACTCGTGCCAGGTTGTTCTGTCCTTTGCTATTGCATGCAGCTCACCTCATGTCCTCCCCATCTTTTTTATCATCTCTGTCTACATCCCTTCTCCATGTGTTTTTTGGTCTGCCTTTTTAAAAAAAATGTACCTCTGGGTTCCAGTGCAAAGAGGTTCCATTTATATTATTATCAGGTTTTCTGAATAAATGTCCTGTCCAGTTCGAGATTCTTCCTTCACCTCTTGGTCCACGGGAACTTGTTTAGTTCTCTTCCAAAGCTCAACTTCAGTGATTCTCTCATAACATTTAATAACACCTGAACAGCAGTGGGTTTCCATTGAAAAAATACATTTGTATTTAGGACAAATTAGAGGATCCAGAATTGGCTGTAGGTAAATAAATGAGTGAATGATAGGGGCAAACAAACAAGTGGGTGACTGACAAATGAGTGAATGATAGGAGCAAACAGACAAGTGGGTGACTGAAAAATGAGTGAGTAATTGGAAAACAAACAAGTGGGTGACTGATAAATTAGTGAGTGATTGGCAAACAAATGTGTGAGGAAGTGATTGGCAAACAGATAAACATATGAGTGATTGTCAAATAAATAAATGAATGGCAAACAAATAAATGAGTGATTGGCAAGTAAATAAATAAGTGATTGGCAAGTAAATAAATGAGTGAATAACATTGAGGTGTCAAATGTTCCAGGCCATGAGGGGTGGATAAGATGCTGGAGTTATTGTAGCTGTCTACTAGCACTGAGGTGTCAAATGTTCTAGGTCATGAGGGGTGGATAAGGTGCTGGAGTTAATGTAGCTGTCTACTAGCACTGAGGTGTCAAATGTTCTAGGCCATGAGGGGTGGATAAGATGCTGGAGTTAATGTAGCTGTCTACTAGCACTGAGGTGTCAAATGTTCTAGGCCATGAGGGGTGGATAAGATGCTGGAGTTAATGTAGCTGTCTACTAGCACTGAGGTGTCAAATGTTCTAGGCCATGAGGGGTGGATAAGGTGCTGGAGTTAATGTAGCTGTCCACTAGCACTGAGTTATCAAATGTTCTAGGTCATGAGGGGTGGATAAGATGCTGGAGTTAATGTAGCTGTCTACTAGCACTGAGGTGTCAAATGTTCTAGGTCATGAGGGGTGGATAAGATGCTGGAGTTATTGTAGCTGTCCACTAGTACTGAGGTGTTCTAAGCCATGAGGGGTGGATAAGGTGCTGGAGTTAATGTAGCTGTCTACTAGCACTGAGGTGTTCTAGGTCATGAGGGGTGGATAAGATGCTGGAGTTAATGTAGCTGTCTACTAGCACTGAGGTGTTCTAGGTCATGAGGGGTGGATAAGATGCTGGAGTTAATGTAGCTGTCTACTAGCACTGAGGTGTTCTAGGTCATGAGGGGTGGATAAGATGCTGGAGTTAATGTAGCTGTCTACTAGCACTGAGGTGTTCTAGGTCATGAGGGGTGGATAAGATGCTGGAGTTAATGTAGCTGTCCTCTAGCACTGAGTTATCAAATGTTCTAGGTCATGAGGGGTGAATAAGATGCTGGAGTTATTGTAGCTGTCTACTAGCAGTGTGGTGTCATATGTTCTAGGTCATGAGGGGTGGATACGGTGCTGGAGTTAATGTAGCTGTCCACTAGCACTGAGGTGTCAAATGTTCTAGGCCATGAGGGGTGGATAAGATGCTGGAGTTATTGTAGCTGTCCACTAGCACTGAGGTGTCAAATGTTCTAGGTCATGAGGGGTGGATAAGATGCTGGAGTTAATGTAGCTGTCCTCTAGCACTGAGTTATCAAATGTTCTAGGTCATGAGGGGTGGATAAGGTGCTGGAGTTAATGTAGCTGTCTACTAGCACTGTGGTGTTCTAGGCCATGAGGGGTGGATAAGATGCTGGAGTTAATTTAGCTGTCCACTAGCACTGAGGTGTCAAATGTTCTAGGCCATGAGGGGTGGATAAGATGCTGGAGTTAATGTAGCTGTCTACTAGCACTGAGGTGTCAAATGTTCTAGGCCATGAGGGGTGAATGAGGGGGGTGTTCACTTCCCTTCCTCATAGTCTTCTCTGTCTAAACAACTCCCAGCACAGTGTCTGCATGATTTTTCTGTCTTCTTCTGTGCCTGCACCAGCCCATCAAGTCCTGGCTGTTTGTCCACTTGTGAACTTTGGTCTTGTTCCAAAACTTGAGTGTTGCATGCCCATGTGTTTGACAGATCTGGCTCATTTATCAAGAAAAGATATAAAACTAACAAAAAGTATATTTTCAAGACGGTAGGTTTCTTGCCTCACAGGCAGAAGCACTCTGGCTTCTGGAGAAGCATGGATCTTATCTACATTGGCAGGGACTATCCATCTGACATCATCAGAATATTGACTGAAGCTGCAAGACAAAGACACACTTGTCTGTGGGCATCTCTTCAGGGGAAGAGAGAAGAATATGCTCATAACTGGGCAGATCCGTGGTAGCAGAGGCAGACCAAGTAGTATCATTGTGGCTGGTCTTACAGGAGGAATATCTCCAATAGCTTTCATCATGAATGCCGAGGACTGGGATTTATGCCATCTGACAAGGTGCATAATGATGCCTCTTATATTTGTGGTTTTCTGGTGACCAGTTGTGAAGTTAATTTTCGGTAACCATTTTAAATCAGACATTTTTTTAACCATATGACAGTGTTGTGATTGTGTAAACATATGATGATACAGTATTTTAATTGTATAAACTTATGATAGATTGGTGTGATTGTGTAAACATGTGATACAGTGTTGTGATTGTGCTCACATATGATTATACACTATTTTGATTGTGTAAACATGTGATAGTGTGTTGTGTAAAAATATGATACATTGTTGTTATTGTGTAAATGTATGATAGAGTAGTGTGATTTTGTAAACATATGATTATACAGTGTTTTGATTGTGTAAACATATGACCCAGTGTTTTGATTGTGTAAACATAATACCCAGTGTTTTGATTGTGTAAACATATGACCCAGTGTTTTGATTGTGTAAACATGCTCTGATGTTTGTTTTGGCTGAGCCTAGGATGCCTTTAGAGCTTTCCACAATGATCTGAAGCTTGTGCAGAAGTACATGAAAGCCATTCATATTGGCAGTGTCAAGGAGTCACAGCTACAAGTGAAACCTGTAGAGAAGGATTTCAGAGAGCTTCGAGATGTTGCCGAAAAAATGGTAACATGCCTTTGTGTGTTATGTTGTTGGCCTGTGTTGTGTCACTGTGTTGGGCTGTGTTGTGTCAAGTTGTTGGGCTGTGTTGTGTCACATTGTTGGCCTGTGTTGTGTCACATTGTTGGCCTGTGTTGTGTCACATTGTTGGGCTGTGTTGTGTCACATTGTTGGGCTGTGTTGTGTCACATTGTTGGGCTGTGTTGTGTCACATTTTTGGCCTGTGTTGTGTCACATTGTTGGCCTGTGTTGTGTCACATTGTTGGGCTGTGTTGTGTCACATTGTTGGGTTGTGTTGTGTCACATTGTTGCGCTGTGTTGTGTCACATTGTTGGGCTGTGTTGTGTCACATTTCTAGCCTGCGTTATGTCACATTGTTGGGCTGTGTTGTGTCACATTGTTGGGCTGTGTTGTGTAACATTGTGTGTTGATGCAGTGTCTGTTCCAGCACAACCTGGTGTTGTAGCTTCGTTGTAAGTGAGTCAACAGTCTAGATGTTACATATAAAGGTTTGTGTGTGTTGCAGGGTCTGTTCCAGCCCAACCTGGTGTTGTAGCTTCGTTGTAAGTGAGTCAACAGTCTAGATGTTACATATAAATGTTTGTGTGTGTTGATGCAGGGTCAGTTCCAACCCAACCTGGTGTTGTAGCTTCGTTGAAAGTGAGTCAACAGTCTAGATGTTACATATAAATGTTTGTGTGTGTTGATGCAGGGTCAGTTCCAACCCAACCTGGTGTTGTAGCTTCGTTGAAAGTGAGTCAACAGTCTAGATGTTACATATAAATGTTTGTGTGTGTTGCAGGGTCTGTTCCAGCCCAACCTGGTGTTGTAGCTTCGTTGTGAGTGAGTCAACAGTCTAGATGTTACATATAAATGTTTGTGTGTGTTGCAGGGTCTGTTCCAGCCCAACCTGGTGTTGTAGCTTCGTTGTAAGTGAGTCAACAGTCTAGATGTTACATATAAATGTTTGTGTGTGTTGATGCAGGGTCAGTTCCAACCCAACCTGGTGTTGTAGCTTCGTTGAAAGTGAGTCAACAGTCTAGATGTTACATATAAATGTTTGTGTGTGTTGCAGGGTCTGTTCCAGCCCAACCTGGTGTTGTAGCTTCGTTGTGAGTGAGTCAACAGTCTAGATGTTACATATAAATGTTTGTGTGTGTTGATGCAGGGTCTGTTCCAGCCCAACCTGGTGTTGTAGCTTCGTTGTAAGTGAGTCAACAGTCAAGATGTTACATATAAATGTTTGTGTGTGTTGCAGGGTCTGTTCCAGCCCAACCTGGTGTTCTTCCTGCTACACTTGCTGCACATCCTGTTGTTGGACCTGGCCGGCTGGGCTGTGATGTACCAGTTTGGGGCTGGCTGGGGGCCGTATGTTGTGTCACTGATGTTGGTGTCCACAGCTGAGGTCAGGTTTGTTGTCTCTCGCTCTCACATGTTTTCTTTCACACATGTTCTCTCTCACACATGTTCTCTCTCACACATGTTCTCTCTCACACATGTTCTCTCTCACACGTTCCCTCTCACACATGTTCTCTCTCACACATGTTCTCTCTCACACATGTTCTCTCTCACACATGTTCTCTCTCACACATGTTCTCTCTCACACATGTTCTCTCTCACACATGTTCTCTCTCACACATGTTCTCTCACACATGTTCATGTTCTGTCTGACACATATCTACTCATGCATCTTCTCCCACACATCTTCTCTCACACATGTTCTCTCTGAAACATGTTCTCTCTGACACATATTTCTCTCACATCTGTTCTCTGTCATACATGTTCTTTCCACATGTTCTCTCAAGCATGTTCTGTCAACACTGTTTTAACTGTGTGTTTTTTACGAACACATACCCACACACACAATTATGTATACATATGTGTGTGTATGTAAAGGTAAAGTCGGGAGATGTGAACCAGCGTCATTGCACACGGTTATAAACCATAAGTGCTCTGCCACTGATTCGGACAGCTGATAAGAATTGTCCGCCTGTGTCGCCGTCTGCACGTAACTTTGTAGCTACAGCGACGTTCCAGAGTGTCAACTCTGGTACCCATTTCCTAGATGCTGGGTGAACCCCGGGAACCGCCCGGTTTCAAACACCGACTGTAGGCTGCAGGGAGTCGCAGCTGGATTTGAAAGCAAGACGCTTATCGACTGTGCAAATGCGGGTATGTGTATTTATTGGGGTGGAAAAAGGAGAGAGGGTGGTCAGTGTCCTTCCTCTGGAACTTTGTAGACACACGATGTAGAGGCTGAACTAGAAACACACAGAACAGAGCATTAGAGCCACACATAATACAGGGAGGACCTTACTCTGCCTGGAACTAGGGCCTGTGCTCCAGGGGCAGATAGAAGGAGAGGAACAGTTGGGGGCACCATATCACATTGAGTACACAGTTAGGGGCACCATATCACATTGAGTACACAGTTGGGGGCACCATATCACATTGAGTACACAGTTGGGGGCACTATATCAAATTAAGTACACAGTTGAGGGCTCCATATGGCATTGAGTACACAGTTGAGGGCACTATATCACATTGAGTACACAGTTGGGGGCACCATATCACATTGAGTACACAGTTGGGGGCACTATATCAAATTAAGTGCACAGTTGGGGGCACCATATGGCATTGAGTACACAGTTGGGGGCACTATATCACATTGAGTATACAGTTGGGGGCACTATATCACATTGAGTACACAGTTGGGGGCACCATATGACTTGAGTACACAGTTGGGGGCATCATATCACATTGAGTACACAGTTGGGGGCACTATATCACATTGAGTACACATTTGGGGGCATCATATCACATTGAGTACACAGTTGGGGGCACCATATCACATTGAGTACACAGTTGGGGGCACCATATGACATTGAGTACACAGTGGGGGCACCATATCACATTGAGTACACAGTTAGGGGCATCATATCACATTGAGTACACAGTTAGGGGCATCATATCACATTGAGTACACAGTTAAGGGCACTATATCACATTGAGTACACAGTTGGGGGCATCATATCACATTGAGTACACAGTTGGGGGCACCATATCACATTGAGTACACAGTTGGGGGCACCATATGACATTGAGTACACATTTAGGGGCACCATATCACATTGAGTACACAGTTAGGGGCATCATATCACATTGAGTACACAGTTGGGGGCACTATATCACATTGAGTACACAGTTGGGGGCACCATATGACATTGAGTACACAGTTGGGGGCACCATATCACATTGAGTACACAGTTAGGGGCATCATATCACATTGAGTGCACAGTTGGGGGCACTATATCACATTGAGTACACAGTTGGAAGCATCATATAACATTGAGTACACAGTTGGGGGCACCATATCACATTGAGTACACACTTGGGGGCACCATATGACATTGAGTACACAGTTGGGGGCACCATATCACATTGAGTACACAGGGGCATCATATCACATTGAGTACACAGTTAAGGGCATCATATCACATTGAGTACACAGTTGGGGGCACTATATCACATTGAGTACACAGTTGGGGGCATCATATCACATTGAGTACACAGTTAGGGGCATCATATCACATTAAGTACACAGTTGGGGGCATCATATCACATTGAGTACACAGTTGGGGGCAGCATATCACATTGAGTACACATTTGGGGGCACCATATGACATTGAGTACACAGTTGGGAGCACCATATCACATTGAGTACAGTTGGGGGCATCATATCACATTGAGTACACAGTTGGGGGCACCATATCACATTGAGAACACATTTGGGGGCACTATATCAAATTAAGTACACAGTTGAGGGCACCATATGGCATTGAGTAAGTGTCCAGCAGAAATCTATAGCACAGGTTTGAACCATATCTAGTACCTGTCCCCTGCTGATGATGCTTCATCTACAGTTTCAGCTGTGGGTCAGTCAGGTAGACTAGCCAGCTGATGTCCAACAGGATTGCAAACATATACCTGAGGCAGGAGAAAGGATTTCATGTTTTCATTAGACTTTGATCAGAGCAGTGGATTGTCGGTGATCCACCACATGTGTACCACCTATATGTGGTGTTGTGCTATAGTGAGTGTAACTTTTGTGTATCTGGTCTGCAGGCACAGGTCAGCTGGCTGCAGCATGACTTTGGACATCTGTCTGTGTTCAGGAACAGACCAAAGCTGGATCATCTGCTGCACTTTCTTACAATGGGGGTTATCAAGGTAGCCAGCTGTTGGACACCCATCAGCCAGCAGTTTGTCTCAGTGTTGTTTGTTGTTTATTCTTCTCAGTCTCCATGTTGTTTGTTCTTCCCCTGTCTGTTGTTTATGTGTTCTTCCTATATGTGTTTTTTGTTCTTTCCCTGTCTGTGTTGTTTGTTCTTTCCCTGTCTGTGTTGTTTGTTCTTCCCCTGTCTGTTGTTTATTGTTCTTCCCTGTCTCAGTGTTGTTTGTTCTTACCCTGTCTGTTGTTTATGTGTTCTTTCCTGTCTCTGTGTTGTTTGTTCTTCCCCTGTCTGTTGTTTATTTGTTCTTCCCTATCTCCCAGGACTCTCTCACATTAAGAAATGAAATTCTGACCAGGGGTTGTGTTACCATGACACTGATACAGCTGGTGGAGACATGTCTTGCCTGCCGTCTGTCAGCTTCAGTTTGACCCTGTCATCTGTGTGCAGTATATGAGGACAAGTGACAGGGAGCCCAGTTAATACACTCCCTCCCCCCCCCCCCCTCAAGCTGTTTAGATCAGATAGCCAGAGATTTGACCTGAAAGCTGTTTAGATCAGACAGCCAGAGATTTGACCTGAAAGCTGATTAGATCAGATAGCCAGAGATTTGACCTGAAAGCTGTTTAGATCAGACAGCCAGAGATTTGACCTGAAAGATGTTTAGATCAGACAGCCAGAGATTTGACCTGAAAGATGTTTAGATCAGACAGCCAGAGATTTGACCTGAAAGCTGTTTAGATCAGACAGCCAGAGATTTGACCTGAAAGATGTTTAGATCAGACAGCCAGAGATTTGACCTGAAAGATGTTTAGATCAGACAGCCAGAGATTTGACCTGAAAGCTGATTAGATCAGATAGCCAGAGATTTGACCTGAAAGCTGTTTAGATCAGACAGCCAGAGATTTGACCTGAAAGCTGTTTAGATCAGATAGCCAGAGATTTGACCTGAAAACTGTTTCGTTTGTGTTGTGTTCAGGAAAAGCAAGCTAGGATTATCACTGTGCTTGAATGTGGGGACATAACTGTGGGGGTTGCTGAGAGATGGATCAGTGGAGAGGGGTATGTGGACTGGTGGAAGGATGCGATGGATATGTGGATCAGTGGAGAGGGGTATATAGACCGGTGGAAGGGTGCGATGGATATGTGGATCAGTGGAGAGGGGTATGTGGGCCAGTGGAAGGATGCAATGGATATGTGGCTCAATGGAGAGGGGTATGTGGACCGGTGGAAGAATGCGATGGATAAGTGGATCAGTGGAGAGGAGTATGTGGACTGGTGGAAGGATGTGATGGATCAGTGGAGAGGGGTATGTGGACCAGTTGAAGGATGCAATGGATAAGTGGATTTGTGGAGAGGGGTATGTGGACCGGTGGAAGGATGTGGTGGATCAGTGGAGTTGGGTATGTGGACCGGTGGAAGGATGCATGGATAAGTGGATCAGTGAAAGGAACGCAACAGTGAAAGACAGAAAACATGGCCGGTGAAAGAGGCAGATGGGTCAGAACGAACAAACAGACTTTATTTTAAAATGGTCACAAATTGGGCACGCAAGCCTGTCCTACTTTCCATCCTTCCTAACACCCATCTTTCACACAGCAGTTGTAGTTGACCAAAAAAGCATGTTGTATTCATTTAATACTATTCATATTGTGAATGTCAAGACAAAAACACAAAAGCATGGTTTGTAAAATGCATGCATACACACGAGTGCATACACGCACACACGCACCCACACCTACATACATACATGCATACACACGAGTGCATACACGCACACACACACCCACACCTACATACATACATGCATACACATGAGTGCATACACGCACACACACACCCACACCTACATACATACATGCATACACACACACATATACATACATACAGAGGTATGCATGCAAAGAGACACACATGCACACAGAGATACACTTACAGACACACATGCAGACACATACACACACACAACTAGACACATGGACATGTATACATAGAAACAAACACAGGCAAACACACACACTCACACGGATACACACACATGTAGACACACACACATGTAGACACATGGACGTAGACACGCACGCACATACACAGAGACTAGACCAGAAGATGATAACACTGACAAGGCTGTATTTGTGCTATGTTTCAGGGAGCCTCCCCATCCTGGTGGAACCACATGCACTACCAACATCATGCCAAACCTAATGTGGTAAGTTGTCTTTGTTGTTGTTGTTGTTGTAGATTGTCTTTGTTGTTGTTGTGGTAGATTGTCTTTGTTGTTGTTGTGGTAGATTGTCTTTGTTGTTGTTGTTGTGGTAGATTGTCTTTGTTGTTGTTGTGGTAGGTTGTCTTTGTTGTTGTTGTGGTAGATTGTCTTTGTTGTTGTTGTGGTAGGTTGTCTTTGTTGTTGTTGTGGTAGGTTGTCTTTGTTGTTGTTGTGGTAGGTTGTCTTTGTTGTTGTTGTGGTAGGTTGTCTTTGTTGTTGTTGTGGTAGGTTGTCTTTGTTGTTGTTGTGGTAGGTTGTCTTTGTTGTTGTTGTTGTGGTAGGTTGTCTTTGTTGTTGTTGTTGTGGTAGGTTGTCTTTGTTGTTGTTGTTGTGGTAGGTTGTCTTTGTTGTTGTTGTTGTGGTAGATTGTCTTTGTTGTTGTTGTTGTGGTAGATTGTCTTTGTTGTTGTTGTGGTAGATTGTCTTTGTTGTTGTTGTTGTGGTAGATTGTCTTTGTTGTTGTTGTGGTAGATTGTCTTTGTTGTTGTTGTGGTAGGTTGTCTTTGTTGTTGTTGTTGTGGTAGGTTGTCTTTGTTGTTGTTGTGGTAGGTTGTCTCTGTTGTTGTTGTTGTGGTAGGTTGTCTTTGTTGTTGTTGTTGTGGTAGGTTGTCTCTGTTGTTGTTGTTGTGGTAGATTGTCTTTGTTGTTGTTGTTGTGGTAGATTGTCTTTGTTGTTGTTGTGGTAGATTGTCTTTGTTGTTGTTGTGGTAGATTGTCTTTGTTGTTGTTGTGGTAGATTGTCTTTGTTGTTGTTGTTGTGGTAGATTGTCTTTGTTGTTGTTGTTGTGGTAGATTGTCTTTGTTGTTGTTGTGGTAGATTGTCTTTGTTGTTGTTGTTGTGGTAGATTGTCTTTGTTGTTGTTGTTGTTGTAGATTGTCTTTGTTGTTGTTGTTGTGGTAGATTGTCTTTGTTGTTGTTGTTGTGGTAGATTGTCTAAAATTGTTGTTGTGTGTGTGTGGTAGATTGTCTAGTTGTTGTTGTTGTTGTGGTAGATTGTCTTTGTTGTTGTTGTTGTGGTAGATTGTCTTTGTTGTTGTTGTTGTGGTAGATTGTCTTTGTTGTTGTTGTGGTAGATTGTCTTTGTTGTTGTTGTTGTGGTAGATTGTCTTTGTTGTTGTTGTTGTGGTAGGTTGTCTTTGTTGTTGTTGTTGTGGTAGGTTGTCTCTGTTGTTGTTGTTGTGGTAGATTGTCTTTGTTGTTGTTGTGGTAGATTGTCTTTGTTGTTGTTGTTGTGGTAGATTGTCTTTGTTGTTGTTGTGGTAGATTGTCTTTGTTGTTGTTGTGGTAGGTTGTCTTTGTTGTTGTTGTTGTGGTAGGTTGTCTTTGCTGTTGTTGTCTGTCATTTTCCTCTGTGTTCTTTGTCAGCTGGTGAAACAGTGGTTTCATAGATGCCAACACAGTGGTTTGACATTGTGTGTGTGCCCTTGAGATGACAGTGCAGTAGTTTGACATTTGAATGACAGCACAATAGTTTGACCGGGTTACAGTACAAGAGTTTGACAAATAACTGTACAATGGTTTTGACAGTACAAGTGTTTGACAAGTGACAGTACAAGTGTTTGACAAGTGACAGTACAAGTGTTTGACAAGTGACTGTACAAGTGTTTGACAAGTGACAGTACAAGTGTTTGACAAGTGACAGTACAAGTGTTTGACAAGTGACAGTACGAGTGTTTGACAAGTGACAGTACAAGTGTTTGACAAGTGACAGTCCAGTGATTGGAAAGGTGGCAGCTTGGTGGCTGACTGCAAGCATCCACATGTCTCCTTGATTGTTTGACTTGTGCACTTGGATGACTGTTAGTGGTGGATGGGTTTAAACACAGAAACATTGGTGATGCCATCTACTGGTCACCTCATCCTGGATGTTGTATTGATGTTTATGTGTTGTCATACAGATAGACAAAGATCCAGATGTCCGCATTGAGGCTTTGTTTGTCGTTGGAGACAAGATGCCTGTCCAGGTGGCCAAGGAGAGCAAGAAAAGCATGCCTTACAACTGGCAGAGTTACTACTTCTTTCTGTGTGAGTACAGCTTGCTGTCTGTGTGAGTACTGCTTGCTGTCTGTGTGAGTACAGCTTGCTGTCTGTGTAAGTACAGCTTGCTGTCTGAGTACTGCCTGCTGTCTGTCTGTATGAGAACATCTTGTTGTCTGTGTGAGTACAGCTTGCTGTCTGTCTGTGTGAGTACAGCTTGCAGTGTGTGTGACTAGTTAGTGGATGCTTGCTGTCTGTGTGAGTACAGCTTTCTGTCTGTGTGAGTACAGCTTGCTGTCTGTGTGAGTACAGCTTGCTGTCTGTGTAAGTACAGCTTGCTGTCTGAGTACTGCCTGCTGTCTGTCTGTATGAGAACATCTTGTTGTCTGTGTGAGTACAGCTTGCTGTCTGTCTGTGTGAGTACAGCTTGCAGTGTGTGTGACTAGTTAGTGGATGCTTGCTGTCTGTGTGAGTACAGCTTTCTGTCTGTGTGAGTATAGCTTGCTGTCTATGTGAGTACAGCTTGCTGTCTATGTGAGTACAGCTTGCTGTGTGTGTGAGTACAGCTTGCTGTCTGTGTGAGTACTGCTTGCTGTCTGTGTAAGCGCAGCTTGCTGTCTGTGTGAGTACAGCTTGCTGTCTGTGTGAGTACAGCTTGCTGTCTGTGTGAGTACTGCTTGCTGTCTGTGTAAGCGCAGCTTGCTGTCTGTGTGAGTACAGCTTGCTGTCTGTGTGAGTACAGCTCGCTGTCTGTGCTAGTTCATTTCTGTGTGTGTACAGCCTGCAGTCTGTGCTAGTTCATACCAGTGTGAGTACAGCCTGCAGTCTTTGCTAGTTTATGTCAGTGTGTGTACAGCCTGCAGTCTGTGCTAGTTCATGTCTGTATGTATGCAGCCTGCTGTATGTGCTAGTTCATATCTGTTTGTGTGTACAGCCTACTGTCTGTGCTAATTCATGTCTGTTTGTATGCAGCCTGCTGTGTGCCTTGTTCATGCCTGTCATCATGGAACAGTCTGTTATGATTTAGGTGATTGTCCGAATGATTACCGAATGTCTAGGAATACATGATATCTTGAGGCCCATTTGATTCATGTACTAGTACGAAGTTGCAACATCAATAACCTATTTTATTACTCAAGCCATACAAAAAAAAAATAACGACTATATGTTCAACAATAATAAATAAAATGTCAATAACACTCTCAATCACAACAAAATACTCAAGTTAGTAATGTTGAGTGTTACCAACACATGATGATGATGTTTCAGTGGGACCACCTCTGCTGTTTCCTGTTTACTTTCAAGTCATGTTGTTAAGATACATCATTACGAGGAGAGCCTGGCTGGTGAGTTCTTTTCTGTCTACACCTGGGACAGGCTGGATGTTACATCATTGTACAGATGGGACAGGCTGGGTGTCACATCATTGTACAAGTGGGACAGACTGGGTGTTATATCATTGTACAGATGGGACAGGCTGGGTGTTACATTATTGTACAGCTGGGACCATCTAGATGTTACATCATTGTACAAGTGGAACAGGCTGGGTGTTACATCATTGTACAGCTGGGACAGGCTGGGTGTTACATTATTGTACAGATGGGACAGGCTGGGTGTTACATTATTGTACAGATGGGACAGGCTAGGTGTTACATCATTGTACAGATGGGACAGGCTGGGTGTTACATCATTGTACAGCTGGGACAGGCTGGGTGTTACATCATTGTACAGCTGGGACAGGCTGGGTGTTACATCATTGTACAGGTGGGACAGGCTGGGTGTTACATTATTGTACAGATGGGACAGGCTGGGTGTTACATTATTGTACAGATGGGACAGGCTGGGTGTTACATTATTGTACAGCTGGGACAGGCTGGGTGTTACATTATTGTACAGATGGGACAGGCTGGGTGTTACATCATTGTACAGCTGGGACAGGCTGGGTGTTACATTATTGTACAGATGGGACAGGCTAGGTGTTACATCATTGTACAGATGGGACAGGCTGGGTGTTACATCATTGTACAGATGGGACAGGCTGGGTGTTACATTATTGTACAGCTGGGACAGACTGGGTGTTACATCATTGTACAGATGGGACAGACTGGGTGTTACATCATTGTACAGATGGGACAGGCTGGGTGTTACATCATTGTACAGCTGGGACAGGCTGGGTGTTACATCATTGTACAAGTGGGACAGGCTGGGTGTTACATCATTGTACAGCTGGGACAGGCTGGGTGTTACATCATTGTACAGCTGGGACAGGCTGGGTGTTACATCATTGTACAGCTGGGACAGGATGGGTGTTACATCATTGTACAGGTGGGACAGGCTGGGTGTTACATCATTGTACAGGTGGGACAGGCTGGGTGTTACATTATTGTACAGCTGGGACCATCTAGATGTTATATCATTGTACAGATGGGACAGGGGGGGGGGGGTGTTACATTATTGTACAGCTGGGACCATCTAGATGTTACATTATTGTACAGGTGGGCCAGGCTGGGTGTTACATTATTGTACAGATGGGACAGGCTGGGTGTTACATCATTGTACAGCTGGAACCATCTCGATGTTACATTATTTTACAGGTGGGTCAGGCTGGGTGTTACATTGTACAGGTGGGACAGGCTGGGTGTTACATTATTGTACAGCTGGAAGATGCTGGGTGTTACATCATTGTACAGCTGGGACAGGCTGGGTGTGATACCATTGTATAGATGGGACCATCTGGATGTTACATTATTGTACACATGGGACAGGTTCAGTGTGATATCATTGTACAGGTGGGACAGGCTGGGTGTTACATCATTATACAAATGGGACAGGCTAGGAGTGATATTGTACATGTGGGACAGGCTGGGTGTGATATTGTTCATGTGGGACAGGCTCGGTGTGATATTGTTCATGTGGGACAGGCTGAGTGTGATATTGTACATGTGGGACAGGCTGGGTGTGATATTGTACATGTGGAACAGGCTGGGTGTGATATTGTGCATGTGGGACAGGATGGGTGTGATATTGTACATGTGGGACAGGTTGGGTGTGATATTGTACATGTAGGAAGGCTGAGTGTGATATTGTACATGTGGGACAAGTTGGGTGTGATATTGTACATGTGGGACAGGCTGGGTGTGATATTGTACATGTGGGACAGGCTGGGTGTGATATTGTACATGTGGGACAGGCTGGGTGTGATATTGTACATGTGGGACAGGCTGGGTGTGATATTGTACATGTGGGACAGGCTGGGTGTGATATTGTACATGTGGGACAGGCTGAGTGTGATATTGTACATGTGGGACAGGCTGGGTGTAATATTGTTTATGTGGGACAGGATGGGTGTGATATTTTACATGTGGGACTGGATGGGTGTGATATTTTACATGTGGGACAGAATGGGTGTGATATTGTACATGTGGGACAGGCTGGGTGTGATATTGTCCTGTGGAACAGCCTGGGTGTGATGTGGTACATGTGGAACAGGCTGGGTGTGATATCCTTGTACAGGTGGCACAGGGTGGGTGTGGAATCATTGTATTTAGAGGACATATACAAACAAGACATGTACACATAACAGGTACACACATGACAGGTACACATAGGACATTAGCTCTTGTGACATATGCACAGACAGATAGAGAGAAGATCACCTGGGACATATGCACAGAGAGAAGAGCACCTTGGACATATGCACAGACAGATAAAGAGAAGAACACCTGTGACATGCACAGACAGATAAAGAGAAGAACACCTGTGACATGCACAGACAGATAAAGAGAAGAACACCTGTGACATGCACAGACAGATAAAGAGAAGAACACCTGTGACATGCACAGACAGATAGAGAGAAGAACACCTGTGACATGCACAGACAGATAGAAAGAAGAACACCTGTGACATGCAAAGATGGATAGAGAGAGGAACACCTGGGACATATGCACAAATAGAGAGAAGAACACCTTGGACATATGCACAAATAGAGAGAAGAACACCTGGGACATATGCACAAATAGAGAGAAGAACACCTGGGACATATGCACAGATAGAGAGAAGAACACCTGGGACATATGCACAGATAGAGAGAAGAACACCTGGGACATAGATAGAAGAACACCTGGGACATATGCACACAGATAGAGAAGAACACCTGGGACATATGCACAGATAGAGAAGAACACCTGGGACATATGCACAGACAGATAGAGAGAAGAACACCTGGGACATATGCACAGACATAGAGAAGAACACCTGAAGAACACCAGACAGGGACATATGCACCTGGGACATATGCATAGAGAGAAGAACACCTGGGACATATGCACAGATAGAGAGAGGAACACCTGGGACATATGCACAGACAGATAGAGAGAACAGAAACAGACAGATTAGAGAGAAGAACACCTGGGACATATGCACAGATAGAGAGAGGAACACCTGGGACATATGCACAGACAGACAGAGAGAAGAACACCTGGGACATATGCACAGACAGATAGAAAGAACACCTGGGACACATGCACAGACAGATAGAGAGAAGAACACCTGGGACATATGCACAGATAGAGAAAGGAACACCTGGGACATATGCACAGACAGATAGAGAGAAGAACACCTGTGACATATGCACAGACAGATAGAGAGAAGAACACCTGGGACATATGCACAGACAGATAGAGAGAGGAACACCTGGGACATATGCACAGACAGATAGAGAGAAGAACACCTGGGACATATGCACAGACAGATAGAAAAAGGAACACCTGGGACATATAAACAGACAGTTAGAGAGAAGAACACCTGGGACATATGCACAGACAGATAGAAGAAGAACACCTGGGTCATATGCACAGACAGATAGAGAGAACACCTGGGACATTTGCACAGACAGATAGAGAGAGGAACACCTGGGACATATGCACAGATAGAGAGAAGAACACCTGGGACATATGCACAGACAGATAGAGAGAGGAACACCTGGGACATTTGCACAGACAGATAGAGAGAGGAACACCTGGGACATATGCACAGACAAATAGAAAGAAGAACACATGGGACATATGCACAGACAGATAGAGAGACAGAACACAGATGGGACATATGCACAGACAGGACATATGCACAGACAGATAGAGAGAGAACACCTGGGACATATGCACACAGACAGATAGAGACACCTGGGAACCTGGGACATATGCACAGACAGATAGAGAGAAGAACACCTGGTACATATGCACAGACAGATAGAGAGAACACCTGGGACATTTGCACAGACAGATAGAGAGAGGAACACCTGGGACATTTGCACAGACAGATAGAGAGAGGAACACCTGGGACATATGCACAGACAGATAGAGAGAAGAACACCTGGGACATATGCACAGACAGATTGAGAGAGGAACACCTGGGACATATGCACAGACAGATAGAGAGAGGAACACCTGGGACATATGCACAGACAGATAGAGAGAAGACCGTAGAGAGCTGAACTGATGTCCACTGTTTGTCTGGGCCAGGATCTGCTGGTTGTGGCACTGTTCTTCACCAAGCTCTTCTACCTGTATGGCCCCATTCTTGGATACTGGGGAGCCCTGGCGTTCTACTTCTTCTTCAGGTCAGTATCACTTGCTTTATCTTCACAGTTTTGTTTGCCTGTCTTTTCTTCACCATTGGTTTACATGTCATGACATCTGTTGACATGGCTGCATCATGTATATCATTACATTTGTTGACATCTCTGTGTCTTGTGTCTCATTACATTTGTTGACATCTCTGTGTCTTGTGTCTCATTACATTTATTGACATCTCTGCGTCTTGTGTATCATTACATTTGTTGACATATCTTCATCTTGTGTATCATTACATTTGTTGACATATCTTCATCTTGTGTATCATTACATTTGTTGACATATCTTCATCTTGTGTATCATTACATTTGTTGCCATCTCTGTATCTTGTGTATCATTACATTTGTTGACATCTCTGTAACTTGTGTATCATTACATTTGTTGCCATCTCTGTATCTTGTGTATCATTACATTTGTTGCCATCTCTGTATCTTGTGTATCATTACATTTGTTGACATCTCTGTATTTTGTGTATTACATTTGTTGATATCTCTGTATCATGTGTATCATTACATTACATGAAACTGGTTGCTGTCTGTCTTAACAACATGAAACTGGTTGCTGTCTGTCTGTTACAACATGACACTGGTTGCTGTCTGTCTGCTACAAAATGACACTGGTTGCTGTCTGTCTGCTACAATATGACACTAATTGCTGTCTGTCTGCTACAACATGACACTGGTTGCTGTCTGTCTGCTACAATATGACACTGGTTGCTGTCTGTCTGCTACAACATGACACTGGTTGCTGTCTGTCTGCTACAATATGACACTGGTTGCTGTCTGTCTGCTACAATATGACACTAATTGCTGTCTGTCTGCTACAACATGACACTGGTTGCTGTCTGTCTGCTACAACATGGCACTGGTTGCCGTCTGTCTGGTACAGCATGGCACTGGTTGCGTTCTGGTACAACATGACACTGGTTGCTGTCTCTCTGGTACAACATGACACTGGTTGCTGTCTGTCTGTTACTACAGATGTCTGGAGAGTCACTGGTTCACCTGGGTGGCACAGTCCAACCATATTCCCATGGAGATCAACCATGACACCGGTTTGCCCTGGTTACAGCTGCAGCTGCAGGCTACCTGTAATGTTGAGCAGAGCTTCTTCAATGACTGGTTCACTGGACACCTCAACTTTCAGATAGAGCACCAGTAAGTGGCTGCAGTCATAGAAAGGGGAGGATAGAAGGGCGAGTTTTGACACCTCAGCTTTCAGATAGAGCACCAGTAAGTAGCTGCAGTCATAGAAAGGGGAGGATAGAAGGGGGAGTTTTGACACCTCAGCTTTCAGATAGAGCACCAGTAAGTGGCTGCAGTCATAGAAAGGGGAGGATAGAAGGGGGAGTTTTGACACCTCAACTTTCAGATAGAGCACCTGTAAGTAGCTGCAGTCATAGAAAGGGGAGGATAGAAGGGGGAGTTTTGACACCTCAGCTTTCAGATAGAGCACCAGTAAGTGGCTGCAGTCATAGAAAGGGGTGGATAGAAAGGGGAGGGGGGGGGGGGGTAGGATTGACACCTCAGCTTTTAGATAGAGCACCAGTAACTGGTGTCGGAGAGAGAGAGAGTAGGGAGAACGAATGAATAAACTTTATTTTCAAAGGGTCACAAATAGAAGACACTGGGCACCTAGACTTTGAGATAGAACACCAGTAACTGGTGTCGGAGAGAGAGGGAGAGAGAAAGAGAGAGAGAGAAAGAGAGAGAGAGAGAGAGAGAGAGAAGGGAGAGAGAAAGAGAGAGAGAGAGAGAGAGAAGGGAGAGAAGACACTGGAACCTAGACTTTGAGATAGAGCACTAGTAACTGATGTCAGAGAGAGAGAGGGAGAGAAGACACTAGAAACTAGACTTTGAGATAGAGCACTAACAATTGGTTGGGATGGGGGAAGGACTGGATATCCCCTTTCTGTGTGACTGCATCCAATTATATACTAGCTGTTACTAAACACATGATGTCTGTCTGTGACCAGCCTGTTTCCCACGATGCCCCGCCACAACCTGCACAAGGTGGCTCCTCTGGTGAAGTCTGTCTGTGAGAAACATGGTATTCCCTACAAGGTCAAGCCTCTGGGTACAGCATTCGCAGATATTGTTCGGTGAGTGCTGTGTCAGTTGTTTGTTTTTTGGTGCCTCATTTCGGTTGAGTCAACCTTTTCACCTGTTTTTGTGCCTAATCTCAGGTGTGTCAACTCTTTCACTTGTTTGTGTCCCTAATCTTAGGTGTGTCAACTCTTTCACTTGTTTGTGTCCCTAATCTTAGGTGTGTCAACTCTTTCACTTGTTTGTGTCCCTAATCTTAGGTGTGTCAACTCTTTCACTTGTTTGCGTCCCTAATCTTAGGTGTGTCAACTCTTTTACTTGTTTGTTGTCTAATCTTAGGTGTGTCAACTCTTTCACTTGTTTGTTGTCTAATCTTAGGTGTGTCAACTCTTTCACTTGTTTGTGTCCCTAATCTTAGGTGTGTCAACTCTTTTACTTGTTTGTTGTCTAATCTTAGGTGTGTCAACTCTTTCACTTGTTTGTTGCCTAATCTCAGGTGAGTCAACTCTTTCACTTGTTTGCGTGCCTATCTCAGGTGTTTCAACTATTTTACTCATTTGCGTGCCTGTTTGTTTTGTGTTCTGTGTTTTGTGTCAACCATTTCACCTGTTTGTGTGCCTAATCTCAGGTGTATTGTCTATTTTACATATTTGTGTGTCTAATTTCAGGTGTTTTGATTATTTCACCTGTTTTTGCCTAATCTTGGGTGTGTTAACTGTTTTACTTGTTTGTTGCTTAATCTCAAGTTTTTTACTGTTTCATTTATTTGTTCCTTGATCATCAAATGTTGTTTCTTCTTTTTTTCTTCTTCTAATCTAGCTGGAAAGAATGCTCTTATACATGCAACCCCCCCCCCCCCCCACACACACACACACACCTACTCCACTAGATCATTTATGTGTGCAGGAACTGCTGTCTGGTTTGAGAGATAAAGATGATGTATGTGTGCAGGAACTGCTGTCTGGTTTGAGAGATAAAGATGATGTATGTGTGCAGGAACTGCTGTCTGGTTTGAGAGATAGATGATTTATGTGTGCAGGAACTACTGTCTGGTTTGAGAGAAAAAGATGATTTATGTGTGCAGGAACTGCTGTCTGGTTTGAGAGATAGATGATTTATGTGTGCAGGAACTGCTGTCTGGTTTGAGAGATAGATGATTTATGTGTGCAGGAACTGCTGTCTGGTTTGAGAGATAGATGATGTATGTGTGCAGGAACTACTGTCTGGTTTGAGAGATAGATGATTTATGTGTGCAGGAACTGCTGTCTGGTTTGAGAGAAAAAGATGATTTATGTGTGCAGGAACTGCTGTCTGGTTTGAGAGATAGATGATTTATGTGTGCAGGAACTGCTGTCTGGTTTGAGAGATAAAGATGATTTATGTGTGCAGGAACTACTTTTTGGTTTGAGAGATAGATGATGTATGTGTGCAGGAACTACTGTCTGGTTTGAGAGATAGATGATGTATGTGTGCAGAAACTGCTGTCTGGTTTGAGAGATAAAGATGATTTATGTGTGCAGAAACTGCTGTCTGGTTTGAGAGATAAAGATGATTTATGTGTGCAGGAACTGCTGACTGGTTTGAGAGATAAAGATGATGTATGTGTGCAGGAACTGCTGTCTGGTTTGAGAGATAGATGATTTATGTGTGCAGGAACTACTTTTTGGTTTGAGACAGCAGACAGGGTACACACGTAAAGGGGTCTCTAGACAGGGTACACAGATGAAGGGATCTCCATACAGGGTACAGTGATAAGAGGTCTCCATACAGGGTACAGAGATAAAGGGATCTCTAGACAGGGTACAGAGGTGAAGGGGTCTCCATACAGGGTACAGAGGTGAAGGGGACTCCATACAGGGTACAGAGGTGAAGGGATCTCCATACAGGGTACAGAGGTGAAGGGATCTCCATACAGGGTACACACGTGAAGGGCTCTGCAGACAGGGTACAGAGATAAAGGGATCTCCATACAGGGTACAGAGGTGAAGGGGTCTCCATACAGGGTACAGAGGTGAAGGGATCTCCATACAGGGTACACACGTGAAGGGGTCTGCAGACAGGGTACACAGGTTAAAAGGTCTCCAGTTATGGTACAGAGGCGACGGGATCTCAATACAGGGTACACACAGCGATAAGATGCCTCAAGACAGGTACTATATGGATGATAGATGAACTGTTGATGATTGATTGTTGTGTAAGTGTCAACTCTTCTTTCATGTTCAGGTCTCTGAAGCATTCTGGTGAACTTTGGTACTCCACCTATCAAGCCTACCACACACCTGCGTCCTGATCTCATCCCTGACTCGAGAGTCAGGCACTCATATCTGGATGTGCTCTCTGGCTCGGAGTCAGGCACCAACATCTAGATATGCTCCCTGGCTCGGAGTCATGCACCAACATCTGGATGTGCTTCCTGACTCTGAGTCATGCATCAACACATGAATGTGCTTCCTGACTTGGAGTCATTCACCAAATTCTGAATGTGCTTCTAGACTCGGAGTCATGAACCAACATCTGAATGTGCTTCCTGACTCGGAGTCATGCACCAACATCTGGATGTGCTTCCTGACTCGGAGTCATGCACCAACATCTGGATGTGCTTCCTGACTTAGAGACATGCCTGCACATTTTTATAGTCTACTAGAAGTGTTTTCCTTTTTTGTCTAGTACACATTTTGTTTATACAGTTACAGTTGTTGAAGGTCATACAATGTATACACTTGTTGATACTATGTTTGATAAATGCTTATTATTTTTGTTTGTTATGTGGGGAACTTTTGATGATGATTATATATTACTGAAATAATATATGTTGGTTACTCAAAGGTGAGATGGTGGTTATTGACATTTGAGATCTTAGTTAGGTAATAGTGTTGTATGTCTTGTTAGTGAAATGACAGCGCTGTCACATAGGCCACACACATGTACACTACATCCCCATATTCTGTATCTACACTACATCCCCATATACTGTATCTATACTACATCCCCAAGTACTGTATCTACACTACATCCCCAAGTACTGTATCTACACTACATCCCCATATACTGTATCTACACTACATCCCCATATACTGTATCTACACTACATCCCCATATACTGTATCTACACTACATCCCCATATACTGTATCTATACTACATCCCCAAGTACTGTATCTACACTACATCCCCAAGTACTGTATCTACACTACATCCCCAAGTACTGTATCTACACTACATCCCCATGTACTGTATCTACACTACATCCCCATATACTGTATCTACACTACATCCCCATATACTGTATCTACACTACATCCCCATATACTGTATCTATACTAGATCCCCATATACTGTATCTATACTAGATCCCCATATACTGTATCTACACTACATCCCCATATACTGTATCTACACTACATCCCCATATACTGTATCTACACTACATCCCCATATACTGTATCTACACTACATCCCCATATACTGTATCTACACTACATCCCCATATACTGTATCTACATCCCCATTACTGTATTTATACGTACATCCCCATATACTGTATCTACACTACATCCCCATATACTGTATCTACACTACATCCCCATATACTGTATCTACACTACATCCCCATATACTGTATCTACACTACATCCCCATATACTGTATCTACACTACATCCCCAAGTACTGTATCTACACTACATCCCCAAGTACTGTATCTACACTACATCCCCAAGTACTGTATCTACACTACATCCCCAAGTACTGTATCTACACTACATCCCCATATACTGTATCTACACTACATCCCCATATACTGTATCTACACTACATCCTCATATACTGTATCTACACTACATCCTCATATACTGTATCTACACTACATCCTCATGTACTGTATCTACACTACATCCCCATGTACTGTATCTATACTACATCCCCAAGTACTGTATCTACACTACATCCCCAAGTACTGTATCTACACTACATCCCCATGTACTGTATCTACACTACATCCCCAAGTACTGTATCTACACTACATCCCCAAGTACTGTATCTACACTACATCCCCATGTACTGTATCTACACTACATCCCCATGTACTGTATCTACACTACATCCCCATATACTGTATCTACACTACATCCCCATGTACTGTATCTACACTACATCCCCAAGTACTGTATCTACACTACATCCCCATGTACTGTATCTACACTACATCCCCATGTACTGTATCTACACTACATCCCCATGTACTGTATCTACACTACATCCCCATGTACTGTATCTACACTACATCCCCATGTACTGTATCTACACTACATCCCCATGTACTGTATCTACACTACATCCCCATGTACTGTATCTACACTACATCCCCATATACTGTATCTACACTACATCCCCATGTACTGTATCTACACTACATCCCCATGTACTGTATCTACACTACATCCCCATATACTGTATCTACACTACATCCCCAAGTACTGTATCAATAACAGATCCCCACACACAAGTACTGTTCTCACATCAAGTGTTGCCACACATAAAAGCTGTTAGATATTGTGTTATGTGTGCCCACTGATGATCTCTTATGTACTGAATGAACATTAACAGTCAGGAATGCTGTCTCAGTAAAACAATTCTCAGATTACAAACAACATACAAGGCACACATCACAGATCCTGCTGCAACAAAGATCCTGCTGCAACAAAGATCCTGCTGCAACAAAGAACCTACTGCAACACAGATCCTGCTGCAACACAGGTACAGCACAGCTATGACTAAAAACATTGCAAGTACCAGAGATTGATTTTGCCACAGATGATGGGGATCGACCAGTAGCTGGTTGTTTGTTCAACTGGTTGTTTGTTCAACTGGCTGTTTGTTCAACTGGTTGTTTGTTCAACTGGCTGTTTGTTCAACTGGTTGTTTGTTCAACTGGCTGTTTGTTCAACTGGCTGTTTGTTCAACTGGCTGTTTGTTCAACTGGCTGTTTGTTCAACTGGTTGTTTGTTCAACCGGCTGTTGTGCTGGCTGTAGAAAATATGAGAGAATACTGCCAGAGTCAGCAACCGTGTATGACATGTCAGGTTCTAGCAGAAACTTTCTGACATGTCAGGTTCTAGCAGAAACTTTCTGACATGTCAGGTTCTAGCAGAAACTTTCTGACATGTCAGGTTGTAGCAGAAACTTTCTGACATGTCAGGTTCTAGCAGAAACTTTCTGACATGTCAGGTTCTAGCAGAAACTTTCTGACATGTCAGGTTCTAGCAGAAACTTTCTGACATGCCAGGTTCTAGTAGAAACTGTCCAACATGTCAGGTTCTAGCACAAACTGTCCAACATGTCAGGTTCTAGCACAAACTGTCCAACATGTCAGGTTCTAGCACAAACTGTCCAACATGTCAGGTTCTACCACAAACTGTCCAACATGTCAGGTTCTAGCACAAACTGTCCAACATGTCAGGTTCTAGCACAAACTGTCCAACATGTCAGGTTCTAGCACAAACTGTCCAACACGTCAGGTTCTACCACAAACTGTCCAACATGTCAGGTTCTAGCACAGACTGTCCAACATGCCAGGTTCTAGCACAAACTGTCCAACATGCCAGGTTCTAGCACAAACTGTCCAACATGTCAGGTTCTAGCACAAACTGTCCAACATGTCAGGTTCTCCCACAAACTGTCCAACATGCCAGGTTCTAGCACAAACTATCCAACATGTCAGGTTCTAGCACAAACTGTTGAACATGCCAGGTTCTAGCACAAACTGTCCAACATGTAATGTTCTAGCACAAACTGTCCAACATGTCAGGTTCTAGCACAAACTGTCCAACATGCCAGGTTCTAGCACAAACTGTCCAACATGTAATGTTCTAGCACAAACTGTCCAACATGTCAGGTTCTAGCACAAACTGTCCAACATGTCAGGTTCTAGCAGAAACTGTCCAACATGTCAGGCTCAGCACAAACTGTTGAACATGCCAGGTTCTAGCACAAACTGTTGAACATGCCAGGTTCTAGCACAAACTGTCCAACATGTCAGGTTCTAGCAGAAACTGTCCAACATGCCAGGTTCTAGCACAAACTGTCCATGACAACCTCAATAGTGTGCTGTTGTTCACATGACAACCACTACAGTGTGGTGTTGTACACATGACAACCACTACAGTGTGGTGTTTTACACATGACAACCACTACAGAGTGATGTTTTACATATGACAACCACTACAGAGTGATGTTTTACATATGACAACCACTACAGAGTGATGTTTTACCAATGACAACCACTACAGTGTGGTGTTTTACACATGACAACCACTACAGTGTGGTGTTTTACATATGACAACCACCAATATGCTGTTGCATACATGACAACCACCACAGTGTGGTATTGTACACCTGAAAACCACATACAGTGTCCTGTTGTATACATGACAACTATCTATGTGCTGTTGCACACATAACAACCACCAGTGTTCTTTGGTACACATGACAGGCACCAGTCTGGTTGTGTCCTGTATGGAGCTACTGATATAATGTCAGTTTAATCTGTCTGCTTAGTTATGTTTGTGTCATTTGTGCTTGTAGAAGACAACAGTACTTGAAGGTCATTTCTGTCTCTGTTTGATTTTGTTGCTGACTTGCCATGTTGATCTGTGTCTTAGTCAGCAACATTGTGTTAAAGTTTTGTTTTTGTGCTTCAGTGATGACATTGTTGACTCTGGAGTTTTCTCCTGCTTTGTGACACCAGTTGTTGTCATACATGGACCACTTTGATTTAAAATATGATTAATGCCTTTTGATTTGTTCTTGCAAATTTGTTTCTGTCTGTAACTATGGGTCATGTACCTGGCTGTAACTATGGGTCATGTACCTGGCTGTAACTAAGGGTCATGTACCTGTCTGTAACTATGGGTCATGTACCTGGCTGTAACTATGGGTCATGTACCTGTCTGTAACTATGGGTCATGTACCCGGCTGTAACTATGGGTCATGTACCTGTCTGTAACTATGGGTCATGTACCTGTCTGTAACTATGAGTCATGTACCTGGCTGTCTGTAACTATGGGTCATGTACCTGGCTGTCTGTAACTATGGGTCATGTACCTGGCTGTCTGTAACTATGGGTCATGTACCTGGCTGTCTGTAACTATGGGTCATGTACCTGGCTGTCTGTAACTATGGGTCATGTACCTGGCTGTCTGTAACTATGGGTCATGTACCTGGCTGTCTGTAACTATGGGTCATGTACCTGGCTGTCTGTAACTATGGGTCATGTACCTGGCTGTCTGTAACTA